CGTATTCACAGCTATTTTGAGCTACACGCATCGATCTCGAGAATGATATTAATGATGCGTTTATATTAGTCTAGTCGTGATGAAATGAAACACAATCGAGCACGAGACAGAGATTGATTCAAGCATTTCTACATTAATCCTTATTCGACTCATTTAACGTGAATCATGGCTCTTGACAGGTTTGTAATTAGTATTCTGACTTCATACGTTACATCATTCTATTTTGCACGGCTTTCAACGTCCCTATTGCTAGCCGTTATCCCATTGCTAATAGAACGATCTAAATAGAGATAAATCAATGCTTGCTTCGTGAACTGGAAGGAGACGCGATTAAAAAGAGGATAGAAATTTAATATTGATCGAGATAAAATTTAAAACTCTGTGCTAAAACAAGAATTGCCCGATACTATTCAAATACCGGACACTTTAAAAGTAGAAATGTAATGGAATAATTGTGATTCCAATTGAAACTTAAATTTAACGAGGACGAATCTTTATTCTTTATTTTGATGATCGTGGATGAACTTGGTGTTATCTTTCTCCTCCTCTCTTCATTTTCTTCATTTTCTCATAGGCTTTCGCAAATTCTGAAAAATTTTTCAAATCGATTAATAACACATTTATAAACGAATCATCAGTTAGAAAATTGTTAACGACAATTAATAATAAATCGATCTATTATAATGATTGATCTCGGTTCGATTTCAAATCACGTTGTCGCGAATGCAAGGGGCGAGTAGCAACACGTGGATCAGGAATGAATGGAGGGAACGTTTGGAAATTTCAGAATGACTTGAAAGACGAGAGGCGAAGGGCGCAGATGGCAGCGGCTCGCCAAGTTTTGGAGAGGAGTACCATGATGCTGCTCACGTCCAGCAAAACCTGCCTTAGGCATCCCGAGTGTCCGTCTGCCAGGGAGAACAGAGACACCGTTTTCTGCCAGATGCGAAGGGCCATGGACTTGATACATTACGTGGTCAAAGACGGTGTCCTCGATTGCAGCGAGTCCCAGTCTTACTCCAATTCTCAGGTAAGCGATTGGAACACGAATTAAATCTAAAATAATTGTATCGAACGTTGAATAAAATTGGAATAGATTGAAAAACTGCATGAAATTGAGTTATATTGGCAAATCGAAGATTTGTTGATTATATTTTACACGCAAATAAGGAAGAAGAGCGATACAAAAAAATCTTCTCGATATAGGAAGTGTTTAAAGAAAATATTAAAGCTTATAGCATTGTTCAAAATTAGAAAAAAGAATCTGGCTCTAGCAAAATTTTAATTTTTGGTTCTCGATCTCTGAGAGAGGCAAATACGGAAAAAAAAAAAAAGAAGAGATCATAAAAATTGTTGTAAAAATTGTAATAAAATAACGTGATCGAAATTTTAGATCCAAGTTTCCGTTGCATATTTCTGTAGAAATGTAAAATATGCGCATCATCTGTACACACGTTCACGATGCAAACACAATTCCAACAACAAGAATTTGTTGTTGCAACGTGATTATACATTCATGAAATTTTCAACGCTACGAAATACGATGAATATTACACTTTGCTTATGAACGAGAATATATATAATACATTTCACAGAAACAATGTTGTAGGAAGTAGAGAGAAAACATTTATCTCGATGAAATACATTCGAGATTCTGGATCGAATCCAAACAGCTTTCATTTGCCAAATTCTTTTTTTTTTTCCACGTTTAACCCGTAACGTACGATGGAGTCAAATTTTTCGTGACCTTGACTCGTTTTTCGAGACAAAAAATAGATGGGACAACGAAGCTATCTTTGCCAAAATTGTGGGTGGAAAAATGTAATAATTTTTACGTATCGCAATAAATTTTCCTTCGCTTGTTTAAGTAGAATAGATGGTCAATAGATGGTCAGGCCATCTGTAAGAAACGCCATCAAAACTTCGATTCGAAATTTCTAAAAAAAAAAAATCATCAAAGAAAATATTAATTCTTTGTATAATGTAATAATTACTGGCGGAAGATAATTAAAAAAAAATAATAATGAAACTATAAAAATTATAAATATGTAAATTACATATTTATAAATTATTTAATTACACCTTGCCCTTTTTACCGTGACTTTATATAAAAATTTTTCGAGGCAACAAACTGTCCATTATTAAGTTCCGATGTAGACGAGGTGAAAATCCTATCTAATCAATTTCGCGAAAATTGAGGATGGGTATATAACCGGTTACATTGACCTCAAATTATGTGTGTCAGTCGCAGTTCCTTGCTCCGGTGATTAATTACGAAGTTCTTATTACGTTCAGTTATTACTGGAAGCAAAAAAGCACTTGATAAATATCACCCTTCTATTTTAATCTTCAAATACTGGGAAAAAAATCCGTGATAAAATATATTTTAATTTAAAAAAATTTATTATTAAAAATATCGAGAATGTATGCTTACCTAATAAAAAAAAAAAAAAAACCAAGTAATTAAAATCTGTTTAATATCAAAAAGATGAAACAACGAAAAGAACGAAATTTCGTTGAACGAAATTTCAATAACATCATTCCACGTAACATTCTTATTCTTAATAATAATAGGAAAATGTCGAGAAAAAGAATGTGCAACGAAACGTAAAAATTATCATCGATAATTTTGAAAATATTTTCGCAATATCGAAAAGAAAAAAATAATTCCTCCCCCACAAGAGAAGCGCGTGCATTTCGAAATATATATATATATCTTGTATTATTCCATTTCACGAGCTGACAACACGACGTTTCGACGCCATCGGGATCAGAGGGGAGGAGGGGGTTTGCTCTTGCAAGTGGGTGCATTTTCAAAATTTAAGAAATATCTCCACTACAATGGAATGGATGGGATGTATTGACAGAAATGCGAATTGATATCGTACCACGATTAAGGATAGGTGCATAGCGAGCGACGCCGAAATGGATGTCATAAACGTTGCGGTGCATTCTTCGCCACGTGCCAAATTGCAGCTGGCGTATTAATGCGTCGATATAATTTCAATTTCTTGCCAATTGCACACGGGACACCGGCCAAATCTTCCCGCCATTCCAACAATTAATTTGACAATAGGAATTTATTTTGCTCCCCCCCTCCCCCCCCCCTTGAATTAACTCAACTCTTAACTTCATTAATTTATTACCATCATTATTATATACTTCGTTGCAAGAAAATATGATGAATGTATTTGAGATTGTTTTAATCTTTGCAAATAAATAATTTTAATTATAATTATAAAATAAAAAATTAAATATCGCGTTTGACTAATTAACTATATACAATATATTTTGTTTGTATATTTTGTATATTATATATCCTTTTTTTGGGGGGGATTGGATCTCATCGACAGATGTCAAAACTTTTTAATATCGAATAGATGCATTTATTTCAAACTTTTAGATTCTATTTAATCTAAAATTTAAAATTCTTTCAACAAATATTTCCCAAATTTAAATAATCCAATATTCCTCGAATATGTTTTAACGTTAAACAGCATTCGATATTCTAATGCCTTTTTTTTTTCGATTCTTTCCAATTTTCAATTCAAATTTTTAATTTTTTAATAAAAAAATATATATTCCCGAAAATAATTTATCTCGTAACGATTATTTCCCTCGAACGAAGCGCGATTTATATATCCACAATGAAGTTCGATTGGAAGTGTTCGATAAAGCCTTCGATAAAGTACCAATGAAAAATTTATAACGTGCAGATTGACCGATAATCGAGCAGGTTTGAAAGGAAATATGGATCGAGGTGCTCGGTCACGTTCAAGGATCCCGTGCGAATAATTGCTAACTAGAAGAATGCATAGTTAATCGACGCCATATTCAGCATAGCTGAATGCACCCTTGGTTAAATGGGATCGGTATCTATGCTTGACCTTAGGCCAAGCCTCTCTATATTTAGTTATGGCGTGCCATTAAAGCTCCACGTGGTATCTCGATAGCTGCCTGTAAACATAAAGATTGTTTATCACGTGCATGATCAAGCTTGAAACGATCCTCCTCCTCCTCCTCCTCCTCCTCTTCCTCCTCCTCTTTTTTAAAACATTTTTTTCTAAAAGCAATTTGCGAAGGAATATGAATAGAAAATAAATATAAATAAATATAATAATAAAATCGCAGCGAGTAATTGAAACAAGGGTGGTATTTTTAAATAAAAAAGGCTAGTTGGGTTAATGTAATAGAATAGAGGTGAAAATATATTGGGATTATCGTGCATCAGAGGGATCATAAATCAAAAATTTCATTATTCTCGTGCAGAGGGAAGTTAAATATTTGGAAGAGTAGGTTATACCGTAAATCTGGCCACCACCCTCTTTGGAGGAGGGTGAATATCCGGGCTGAGTCGGTCGTTAATTTTCAGAGTCCACAGCAGGAGGATTGGGACAGCAGCACGGCGTTCTCCGCGTTGAAACACTTCGAGAGGTTGGTCGAAACCACAAGAATGACTCTCCTAGGACCGGGTTGTCGAGAGACCCTCACCGCCGCGTTAGACACCGTCATCGAGAGGACGCAGGATTTCACCGACAGCGCATACACGAGCCACGAGCACAGAGAGAATATACTTCTGCTTTGCGATCGGGCGCAACTCGAACTCAACACCCTCCTGCGAATTGGTAACAGTATGGTAAGAATATTTCTCTTTTCTTTCTCTTGTGTTGAGAGACGAGCAAATTTAATTAACAGTAAGAAATCTATCGATTTATATAGAATGCAAAGAATTTTGTATATAAATAAAATTTAGAATTATTCAATTCCAATGTTGAAGTCTTTTTATTTTCACGTTTTTACATTAAGTAAAAATGCATATAAGCGGATAAAATATTTTGTTCGTTCGAATGAAATCGTGAAAATGCACGCGGTCGTTAAGAGAATATCGAAGCGAGAACAGTGAAACGATTAATATTACGTGTTAGAACTACGAAGGTGGTGGTGGGTCTCCGAGTTCTGAAATGGAGCAAGCCGTTCTGGGAGTGTTACGTACCACCAGGGATCTTCGCCAGCAGCTGTGCACGACCACAATGGAACAAGCGGCTGATCTTGGACAGGTAACTAAAGCGGGTCAGGAACTTGTGTCAACGATCAGGAACGTCGCTCTGGCCAATGACAGATACCTTCTTCAAGAGAGCAACGAGAAATTTCGCGAATACATTGAACACATTCTCGAGGCGAGTGTATTCACAAAATTTAAATTCTTTTAAATTCGTAAATACATACGAATTATTTTAATTTGTTTTCCACTCTTTTTAAAATTAAAAATTTTTATTCAATATGTAATGCGATTTGAGTGTAAACGAAAGATTTTTTGTTTCTCTGAGAATTCTATTTTTAAACGATATTTAATAATTTGACCGTTATCGATTGATAGGTGTGCAAAATGCTGAGACACGTCGCACTTTCGGAATCGTTGCAAGTTTCGGCGAAGTTCACTGAAATTAACTTGAGAATATACGGCCCCCAAGTGGTGACAGCGGCGTACACTTTGGCGAGACATCCTACGAGTAAAATCGCCAAGGAAAATCTGGAAGGTAAATTAATTAACCGATATTGTAATCCCTTCAAACATTACTCTTACTCTCTCTTTAAAATATAAAATATCCTAAAATATCCACGTGTACGTTCCAGTATTCGCCGACATGTGGCAATGGCTCATGACCGATGTGACCACCGTGGCGAAAGACGTGTTGGAATTAAACCAAAATCGACCGGAGAAACAAGTTTACATGTCATTGCCACGGCCTGGAGTGAGTGTCAATAATTTTTCACTTTTAACAATTCAGATCTTCGATAAAAGCAATTTTATATGAACAATACACCGACGATTATCTGACGGAATAAACGCAATATTCGAAACAATGATTCGGGTGACGAGAAAATTTCAGAAATTTCCTTTCCAAAAAATATCAGACGTTCGTTTCTCGTTCACACTCGTTGATATATTCGATATATCGTTCCAGAAACACGGAACAACGAGCAAGCCGCTGAAACCGGTGAAATTGGACAGCGAGGAGCAGGCGAAGATCGCGAAGGCAGGCCTCGAGATGAAGCTGATCACATCCGAGATGGACGCGGAAACGGAGAAGTGGCAGGAGAGCGGTAGCGCCCTCGAGGAGAACAACGACATAGTGAAACGCGCCAAGAACATGTCCTCGATGGCGTTCTCCATGTATCAGTTCACGAGGGGGGAAGGGGCGTTGAAGACAACCCAAGATCTGTTCACCCAAGCTGAGTATTTCGCCGAGGAGGCGAACAGATTGTACAAGGTTGTGAGACAATTCAGCTATCAGGTATGTATCAGTTGCCGAGGCAACGTAGATAATTCAGAGCCAAAACTGAAATATATATATACACATTTTCTTTAATTGGACTGATGTTCAGATGCCTATATGGTATATACGCTGTGTAACGTGTAAAACGTTATCCGTTGTTACACGTCACGCGTGTATACACGTGTTACATCATCCTTACTTTTATGATCATACTCTCTTACCCATTGTTTATTATTATTATTATTATTATAATTATAATTATTATTATTATTATTACTACTACTACTACTATTATTATTATTATTATTATTATTATTATTATTACGGATTCTATACTGGACTTGATTCCGAGTTTTTTGATCCTTGCTATATTCGAGATATTTTTCCTTCAATTTCGCTAATTGAGTTTCGTTTTGACGTAATTGCCACGCTAGAGCTACTTTGAATCCTTGAAATATCTCAAATATCTCTTTGAAAAATTTGAACGCACGTGTCTTCTTCTATCTTTGGATCGATGGATGATTTTTCTTTTCCCTTCCTTCCTTTCTTTCTTTCTTTCGTTCTTTCGTTGTTTCATTCTTTCTTTCTTTCTTTCTTTTTCATTCGATCGCGTTTTTTCAACGCGAACGACCACGTGATTAAATTTAATTGGCGGAAGAACAATGGAAGTGTAACGTTTCCAAATGGATTGGAAGTAGCTCGGGCGCGAATTATTAGCATTAGACATGTTCGAATTAACACGTTTGCTGCCCTTTCGACCCTCCTAGCTAGGCCGAATATACATAGTTTTACCCGAAACCATTTTGATCTTTCTATACTCTTCTTAAAAGAAATGAAAAAAAAAAAAAAAAAAGAAAGAAAAAAAAAGAGATACGCTAACCTTGTAATATATTCTTGTATTATGATACCCTTTTTTTGACCCTCGCTCTTTGAATGCCTCCATCCAGGTAACTCTTTCTCTCTTTACTTTAGACCCTCGTTGGGCTAATAGAGATTCGCCTTGTACAGTTCGTTCTCTCATTGCATTGATATATATATATATATATATACACCGCTCTTGCGAGAATCTATTTTTTAACCAGTTGCTGTTAAATATCGTTCATTTCTCTTTTACATATATATATATAT